ACTATCTAGTAGCTGAATTAACACTTCTCATAAGTGTTGTTCATACTCTTTAAGGATTTTACTATAGACTAGTATATCATCAATGAAAAAAATTACATATTAGCTCAAAAGGTTCCTAAATAATCTATTCATGTGACCTATGAAAGAGATTGAAGCATTGGTAAGGCTAAAAGATAAAATAAGCCATTCAAATTATCTATAGCGTATATAAAATGTTGTCTTTTTTATATCTATTTTTGCAATAGGTGTCTGCTAATAGCCACTTTGAAGGTCCAATTTGCTAAAGATGTTTGCACCTCAAAGTTAGTCAAAAAGATCATCCACACATAGAAGTAGATATACATTCTTATCAGTCTACTTGTTGAGGCTTTGATAGTCTATGCAAAGCCAAAATTTACTATCTTTTTTGAGAATAAAGAGTACAAGTGCTTCCTATGGCAACGTGCTTTCTCAAATGAGGTCTTTCTTCAAGAGTTTGTCCAATATCTTTTATAATTCTTTAAGCTCATTTGATACTAAGCAATAAATTGGTGGACTTGCTAATTTGGTCCTAGGTAATATTTTTATTTGAAATAAGGTACCTCGATCAAGTAACATGCTTTTAAGTAAGTTAATATGAAAGACATCTTCATATTCACATACAAGTTATTTTACTTGTTTTGCTCCTTTAAATATCTTCTCTACTATTGAGATAAGATTTGGAACTACTACATATATCACTTGCTTATATTATATTTGTTTCTTCATAAATATCAATCCTATAAGTAAGCCTTTAATCCCACATCATTTTTCTATCTTATTCAATGTAGAGGTACAAAGAATCACCTTGTGTCTATCATCTTTGAAGAAAATTGTCCTTGCTAGCAAGTCAACTTGCAATTATAGTCGAGATATAATTTTTTGTAGAGCCTCAATCTACAAACACTTGACATGAATGTCGTCTAAGTCAACCTTTTAGACATACCAGTTGAAGCTTTAGACACACCAATCGATCCTTCCAATAGTTGCTTAAGGTCATGCCATTTATCTCTAAGAGACAATAGCTATTCCTAATATTGGCTTTTAGTGCTTTTACTAAGGAATCCTATTTCCTTGCTCTATTTTTTTATCAATTTGGTGAGCCTTAAAATTGTGAATCCACCTTGATTTGGTATTGCCTAAATTTTGATATTTTGAACAATCTCCAATTTGATGGATTAATTCTTGACAATAGAAATACAATCCCTTTTGCACCAATATTTGTCATCACTACAATATCAATGAATCTTGCAAGGCATCAATCTCCATTAGTGTTGGTTGTTATGCCATGATACTAAATAGTGGCATATGACTCTGCACTATAAGTTGTGCTCTACAGTTTCTAAAATCTATGGCATTGATTCTTTTCACAATCTTAATTGCTTCCTTAATTTGATCTCTTGCTAAGTTATAGATTTCAACCCTCATACAAATTGACCTATCATCTCCGCTTTTAAAATGCTGCCAATTTGAAGACAAATGGACTTGAATTAGGAGATATAATTTTATATTGACCTAGATTGTATAAGATTAGCTAACTTATTGTGTACTAACTTCTCTATATTAATGGGCCAAAATTGACTTATAATCTTGGTCTCAAATTCCTCCCAATTACAAAATCGACCTTGAGCTCCATAATTTTGAGCTCAATATTGCCACCAAATGGCTGTCACACCTCTCAAATAATAGGTTATATACATAATTTCTTCAATGGTATTTACTCTAGATAATTGGAGGTATTCTTGAATACTAATGAGCTATTGGCATACATCTTCTTGCCTTGAAGTCCTTGAATATGTATTTGGCTTAGTCAATTTCAGCCTAACAAAGATCAATTGCCTTATTCTAAAGGCTTCTATTTGCCCTTATAGAGTAGCTATTTGGTCTAAGAGGTGTTATATTTGAGCCTTCATCTAAGATGGCTCTGCCATATATCCCATGCTATAATTTTTTTGGTGGAATTTGCTACTATAATGCCTTTTCTACTTCTAACTAATTTCTTTAAGATAGCTTGTGATAGCTCCAAAACAATATCCAATGTAATCACAATAATTGACCTCCACGTGACAATAGCTATTAACATACTAAGAAAGAACAGACTAACACTCACTCTGATATCAAAGAAACGACGTCATAGTACATGAAATCTTGCTCGAGAATGCATCGAGCACTTAACTATAGAAAATAGAATTGAAATGGCAACAAAAAAAATCGTAATTCTAATAAAATATTAAATAAGCTTTAATTAAATCTTAAAAATGATAAATAAGCTTTAATCAAATTTAAAACTTTAAAGAAATTACAAAAGAAACAATTTTAAATCCTAAATTCCAAAATAAATCCTAAATTCCAAAACAAATCCTAAATCTTAGTGCAATCATAAATCCTAACTAAATCCTAATCAAATTCTAATTCTTAAATCTTAAGTACAACTTAGGACCTCAATATCTATCGATTAAACTATTGATCTTGCTTAAAATTTTACACACTTTTCAACAACTAAGTTAGTAATAAATACAAAAAATATGAAAAGAATAAAACTTACCAAATAGAAGAAAAATATCGAAATTGGGATAATGACTTGCATCCTTTTTCAACCTTGATGCTAGTCTTTTAGCACCAATATCTCCAAACAGAAGATAAATATCAAAATCTACTCAAGTATTGGCCTACTTCCTTCTTTAGCTTTGATGTTACTCTTCTAGTGCCAATATTTCTTTTTCACACCATTCAATTGTTTTCAAAATTTACAAATGGATAGAAAATCAATTCTATTACCTTTACATGAAAATTTCATTCTAATCTAACTAGTAGATTGCTAAAAATCTTAAAAATCCTAACTACCTCTCAAAGTACAATTTCCAAAACCTCAACCTACTTGAAATTCAAAAACCTTCAATTCAACTATTTTATGAAGGTCAAACTTATAGCATATATTTCAAACAACTATTTTCATGAGTCCTCAAAATTTGAATTATAGATCTACTACCAAATTCATAAAATTCTCCAAAACATAATATCCTTTTTATTTCACAAATTCCAAAGTCATCCAAAACAATTGTGACTTTGCAAAGTTCTTACAAAGTCATTACACACTCAAATCAATCAAAATTAATGTTTTAAGAAATTCTATTAAGTTTGCTATCAAATCCTCCTCTCTAATCTACCAAAGAACCTTACAATTATTGAATATGTATGGTTTTGTGCCTCAAGGTCTGATTTTGAGTGAGGTTGACAACTAGTCCTCTCTAGGTATCAATTCTTAGCTTTTTGAGGTAATTTTTGTTAAAATCCATTCTTAACTCCTTCCTACATATGCCTATATCATTTTATTTTTCAATCTACCTTGTTTTGTCTTATTTCTGGCCTTACAAAGTAAATAGAAGTCTATTTTGTAAAAAGGCAATAATAATATATTTTAATTTTACTATCTTTTTTATTATTATCTATTTTCTAAGATATTTGCTATAATATTTTAAAATAAGATCTTCTATAATATAATGTTTTCTTCTCTCTTTCAATTATTACCCATGTTACATCATGACAACATGACTAAACTCTCTCTAAGATTTAAAACCCCTCCAATCTATAGCAATAGATATCCTATGACAAAATAGGACAAAACGGACTATAACAAAATTAAACAGAACTAAACAAAATGGAACATGAAATGCATAACAAAGAAAAAGAGAATAGAACCAAAAGAGAATAGAAAATACAAACCAAACTTTACTTAGAAAAAGGAACAAGTGTCATACTTGACCAAATATCTAAATGGCTTGAATTAGTCCTATTTATACTTTGCCCAACCATCCTGGAATTTTTTAAAATGTCCCAAATTGTGGATCCTATATTGATAATTACTCATTTAGAAGATTCTAGAAGTAAGCCGTATCTAAATAACCACCCTAAATCCTTCTAGATGTTCTATGGTAGATCCCATATGGACCACCAACCTAGACTCAATTCTAAAAACTTTCCAAAAACAACTCCAATTACCTATTTCTATACATCCACAATACAAATATTTTATCTATGCCCTACTACAATGATAATTTTAATGCATCATTTAATAACTTAGTAAACAAAAGCTTTGAAGTTGAATTTGTTAGTTGTTGATTCTTAATCTCTTTAACGCCATATATATACAAAATACACAAAATATATATATATATTTTCTATTTTTCTATTTTCTATTTTCTATTTTTTTTTAATGATAATTGATTGACTCTTTGTCTTTGTTTTGATAGATGTTTTCAATTAAGCATCAATTTTTTTTATACAAAAATTAGTATTACAAATATAGTATTATAAAAACTTAATATTAGGAAGATTCAAAATGAAATCTATAGAAACATAAGAATATAGTGTTTCTAATGAATCATTACCTTCAAATGAATCATTTGTTGTTGAATAAATACAGAATCTTGTGCTTTTGATGTAAAATAAGAAAATCTAAAAAAAATATCTTACAGACCTTGTTGTTTGATCAATAAGTTATCTTAAATTCAAAACTTGACAAAGACATGAAGCAACAACCTTGGCAATAATTAAAACATGTGCTGATTTGAAATATTGAAGGTTCTTGTGATTAGTATAAGCAATGACTTTAAGCTGCAAGGCAAATAGAAGGGATCTTTGAGGCCCTAAAAAATACTACCCAAACTTGAGTCAAAAAATTATAGGCAGTCAACACCATACTACAACACCATACTACAACAGATGCAAGAGACATCCAAATTTGAAATCAATGAATTAGGCAATCAATGAAATCAAAGGCACGATACAAAGAATGAGCATCGCAAGTGGAAAGAATCTATCCACACTGACAGAGCAATGACAGAGCAAGCTGAAGACAAATCCATCCCAATTCCGACCAACCTGACATTAACAAAAAGGGACCGTATGTGTCATAAGAAAGCAGACGGTGAAAGAGAAGACCACTTCATTCATCTGTGGAAGCCATTTCACTGCACGTAGTATTAGAAGCAAAGAAATGCAAATTCCTTCAAATTAAAAACCCTAAACCAACCCAAAGAATGTATACAAATGTCGGCAATTTCACAAGTTCCACTAAGCTAAGGACACTAACCACTACAAAGACACTGGTGATTTACGAACTCGCCTTGCTAGCCGCGGGCCTTTAGATAAACTTTTCCGTGACCTTGCCGACCTCTGGTTCGTGATGGACAATGTTTGGCTGGGAGACCGTCGCTTGAAGGCTGAACTAGTCTTTCGTGATGATACCACTCGAATTGGCCCTGCTGGCACACCCTTCTTCAATGCACTGCCTCTTGGAGTAGCTGATGGTGGAGTTCGCATTGATTGGGGGGGAAGAGGATTGTTTGGCTTCCATACTATGTTATTTTTCAGAACAAATTTAACTTTCTTCTTTGTTGAATTGGATTCTGACATCTGATCTACTCCATTTGACTTCGAGGACTGTGCTGGACAAAGACTGTTCGCACTTAACAAGGACTCCGCTACTTTGGCAGCTTTCGGTCCTTTCCGCTTCTTCTTACCTACAAATCCAGTAGAGATCGGTTCTCTAGACGAATCGTTAGAAGCAGCCGCTTGATCCGACTCCGCAGCTATAGAAGCAAACTTCTGCTCCAGGTTCGATATTACAGAATCTTTCACACAGAGATTCATCATTGAATCCGCATCTCTCATCCCCGATAACATTCCAGCTCCCACAAGAAACTGAGCAGTTGAACTTTTGGTATCCCCTAGCTGCGCTTTTAAACCATCTTTTGCGACTTTAACTCCACTAGCAACAAAATTCTGCTCGGGGAGCTCCAGTGACCTGTCTGTTTCGACTCCTTCATACAAAACTTGAAATTAATCCAGGGACTTTCGGACACGTTCAGGGGAAACGATTTGCTCCAGCTAAATAAACATTGCAGGGATGAAATGAGAAATAATCATTGCGAACTAGCTGCTTCGTTGTAATCGTGATGACAGGAAACTGTTCAGGACTCGATATTTCTACCTTAAACCGAAAATACTCAGGAGACCTTTGTCCGCTAAATTTCTAAAACAGTGTTTGAACTTAACCGCACTCGACACTCAGACCTCCCCGCATTCCACAGTTTAAACCAACCAGTAACTCAGAAATGACAGCGTCCTAGATCTAAACATAAAATCTAAGCGTACCTGCTAGCACATGATTACCCTTCTCCTTTCCCATACTCTTCTTTCCCTTTCTCTTGTTTTTGCTGGAAGCTTCGACTGGAGCAATCTCAACAAGGGCTTCCAGTTTTGCCGCTTTCATTTCCTTCACATCGACCTTCTTAATTTGTTCATAACTCAGATTATAGTCGACATCTTCAGCATCAATTAGTTCCGCTGCTTCGCCGCCTGCGTCCCTTGCCATTTCTTTGTCATTCCTTGACTTAGCCTGTTTCAGCGTCCGCTTTTTTGTATTTTTCTCGGTTTTTACGTTCAAGGCTTCAGGTTCAATTGCCTGAGGGTGAGACGACTGAGCAGTTGGGATTGGAACATCCTTGATTTTCTTCATCTTTCTTTCCACACCAATCTCTGAAATCTCCGAAGCCCTCTTGGACCTTTCACCGATCTGTCTTGCCGATTGCCTGGTCGCACTGTTGACGACTACTTCACCCATCCTCAAGTCAGGGCTAGAGCTATCCTTAATCTTCTTGAAATTCAAATCAATACCTGCAAAAGCAACCAACTGGTCCACCTTGGTACATTCCGCATGGATTTCGTAAAAAACCTTGCGATTAGCTTGAGGAGTGGTCTCAGACGAAGCTAGTTCGAAAATGCGTGCACTTAGAGACAGTGACACGACATGTGGTCCGAAGCTGTTCTCATCAACTTCATTACCACATTGAGTATTTTTCACAAAAGTCACAGCTTCTTCCAAGAGAGGCATAAAGACACCCTCTTTAACTCTCTTCATCAAAGATTTATCAGGAGCACTGCCAAGAGTAGCATAGCATGGCTGCAGCATCAGACTGAAGGTGTCAGCATCTAAAGGGTGAAACTTCCGAAGAACGGGTAGAAAGATGTCTACTAGGTGCAGGTTCACGCCCAAAGCTGGATGTTTATCGTTGGCAAGAAGTGATCTTTCAACCAAAGAATTCATGAATTTCCTGACAGATTTCTTATCCCAGTTGCTCCTTTGAAGAATTGCAAAGACTTTAACCAAAACTTGTCTCAAGAGGCGATAAAACTTGTCCAGCCTAAGCGAATCGATTCCATTCCACTCCCGTCGCATAGTAGTGAGGAAAACCTCGAAGAACGCCAGAGCTGTATCCGCATCCAAGCTTTCAAGAATGCCTGCTAACTTATTAATGAGATCTGCTTGCACATGTACCTTGTCGGAGTGCCATAAGCAATAAAACAAGCCTTTCCATATTTTCTTCAGCTCATCCTCACCAACACCCTGCACAAAAACCAAAGATGATAACTCAAACAGCACATCATCGCATTGGAGCCATATGATTACGATGGCCTCAAAGAGCATTTTCACGATGTAAGTCGGCAAAGCTATCAACTGCGCCTAAAAGAAAAAGAAAAAGAATCGATCAACCACAAACTTATAATCCATCACCTCTCATAGGGTGTGTTGCCTAATTCATTAACTGATTCATTTTCCAAACATAGTTTATGCGCGTCAACAGCGTGGCATTGGATTGACGTCAGTGATGGTGAACTCCAAAACGACAGTGGGGGAACAGCAAGGTAAGAAGAGAAGGGCACGAAGTAATAATTTGATGAATGCAGGGAATTTCAACTGGCGAAATTGGAGCATGATTTCTTCTCTTAAGATGAACAATGCTATGAACGTGAAGTAGGCAGAGTCAAAAAGCTGGTCGATTAAAAGCACTGTACATGGCTAAGCCCTTCACTACCTCCTGAAAAATAGGATTATGAAAGTCTACTAGGACGGCGTAGAGTCTTAACTCTGACAGAAAACCGCCGATGAAGCTTAACATCTACTTCAATACCACTTGACAAAACTGAAGTAACTGACAAAGCTTTCAAAAACTACAAAAATGGATGAATTTCCTAAGTAGCACATATATATAGAAATAAAACCCAAGAATGATGTAGACAGAACATAGAATACAACTCTGTGAGAACAACCAATCGTAGTTGAAAACTAACCGCGATAATTTGAAAAACAAGACAAAGAAACCCTTCACCAATTGCAGGTGAATAGTGCATCCTGTGAAGAAGATCCATCGATCAGTACAAGGACGCCTAAGTAGCACATACGTACCCTATGACGAGGCGCCTTAATAAAATAAGAACAAAGGGCAACTGGGAGAAAGTAGTATATTGTCCATATAGAACTTGTCTCAAGACCTTCAATAGCAAAAGCCAAGAAAGCGAGCGAAATCAAACGTGAATTTGTGATACATAGAACTTGCGAAGTAACCCTCGAATAAATCAGTGAACCTGGTAACCAGAAATTCACTGGCACGGGTAACGCAAGATTGCAACACTTAACATCAAGAAGTCACAGAAATGCTAGCTTGACGACATTTTGTGCGTCATAATTGTCCGACCACGTTCCGAAAGAAGCATGAGGATTAAACGCCAGATTCTGGGTTGTAGTTTTGAATTTGCACCCATTGAGAATTTGACGCCAAGGAGCACAGACAACAGAAATTTAGAAGACAGCACAGATATCAACCGCTTAAAATAAGTGGAACTTGATATTGCTCCGAAACCCATGCAAAACTGTCAAGAAATGGAACTATACAGCTACTTTGTTTAAACACTGGGTTAAACCCCCCCGCCCATCGGAAGTTCGATAACCCTCGAAACTTATAACCACCATTTTTACCACTCTCCAAGCCTTAAGCTCGCTAATAGTTGGCAGTTAAGTCCTAGAATGATACCCGGGAACTAGGATGATCTGAGCCATAGGGCAATAAATTAACCCAATTTCTGTCTAAAGCTTTCCTACCTAGTAACTTGCAAAGCCACAATGGTGCACCTACGAAAGTCTCTCTAAACATAGCAAGTACACAGCAAGGGGATTGAGGATCTGGACGCGACAGATAGGGTTTAAATAACACTGACTTCAGAACACACAAAACAGGATCGTCATTCGCGAATCTAAGAGAACCATTAATAGTGAATTGGTTGACATTAGAATATAGTGTTTTACAACTGATAACGTTTGAAGTACAATCATGAAACACATTAGCTTACCTTCTGGCACGACAACCAAAATACCAGCAAGGATAGTCCTTTCTCTCGAGTTTTCTTATCAGTTGATCCCAACTTGCGGGCAAAATTGTTTTTCTCCACGAAAGCTACACCAACTTCTTCCATCTCCAACGCCACAAAGGAGTAATAATGAAGGGGAAGGGGCCGTTAGGCACTAGCGACTCTTGAGTGTTAACCCGTTGCTGCTAACTTGTTCTAAAAATCACATCAGCAAGGACATCTGGACACACTCTCCCATCGCCACGGCAGTCCTCTACTACCCTAGCATCGCCTACACAAAGAATGAAATGAGCGTCCCGGCAGTAACCCACTTCTCTAAAATCCACTAGACTACACCCCAAACAGAGAACACCACTAGGACCCCAGTATAGCGAAAATAACTATCTAGCACGTAATAAAGCCATCCCTTAAAAGCTCTTCATATTCTAACTCTCTACGATCAATAAAAGATGAAACTCCTTCAAAAAAGACCAGGCTCTACCACAAACACCCTAAAATTTCATGACACGCCACCAAGCAGAGGCAGGATATACAACTTGTTTACACGGGACACAGAATACGGTGGGAAACATCACTAAGAGCAGCGAAAACAACGCAGGCGGGACAATGAGGCGCAAGCGGAAGCTGAAGGACAGGGAGCGCCACTTGACGCCATAGCCAGGCAACCACAAGGAGATGCGATGTTTCGGAGATGAGAGGGAGCACTGGCTAGGAATATTCTGTGTACAAGGGGGAATCCAGCCCGTGACGGCGTCTTGTCGCGGCTGAGGCAAACGTTCCTCTATGCAAGAGAACATCTAATTCAAATTCCTAGGTCACCAAAGAGACAGACCTCATAATAATAATATAATAAGTAGTAACAGGACCCGTTTGCAAGAACCTCTAGCAGAGCCTTGCCCTCCCAACCCAACAAGCAGCATCTCTTTCATACCTTCCTAATTCCTCAGTTTTTTCACGCTCCATAGGAATCCCTCCTCACCCTCATATGTTGAAAAAAAAATCTGTACATGGGTTTCATACAACTATCATATACATATGCTTAAGATTTTGATTCAGCCAACTTCATGGCAATCCTTGATAAATTAATCAATCGACTAACTAATTGATGGTTTTAACTTTACTAAGTAAATTATTGATATGTATCAAAATAAATATGTATTGATGTATGTATATTAGAAAGAGATTAAATAACACTAGATGAACATGTGTTGTTGTCACAGAAAGTGTGACTCAAATGAAGCTATTTTGAAAGATATGTTTGTGAATTAATGCAACCAACATCCAATCATATAAAATCTAAGAAACCAAAATCTTTGTTCCACTTAACAGATATAACAACTTCTTTTAGACATCAAAGCTTGATATGTATGTGTAGATTGTTTGGTCTTCTTTACACTTGTCTAAAATTGATAACCTTTAAAAACCAAAATTTGTTGATAAAAAACTAAAGGAACCAATATCCAATCACAAAAATGCCAAATTTGAATTCTTTGACACCGCATGCCAAGACTTGCAATCAATTATCTATTGAAAAAATAGTCGCTCCTATTAATTCCATTTTCAATTAGTAAACTTATAATCTAATCTAATAGCAATACATTGACATGAGTTATCAAATAAACTAAAACTATTTCTATTTCTTAAAAAATAAGATAAGAAATAAAATAACATATAATTTAGAAGTAGCACAATTTCTAACTTTTATTCCTAATATTACCAAAAAAATAATAAATCAACTCATGAACACTCTAATAAGTATATTCATAAGTTTATAGAAATTTGAAAATGATTAATAAACTCCTAGTCATTTGGGCACTTTGTTTGATTTTTTATTAATAAAAATTTGAATCAACTTTGTTCTTTTGCTTTACTTTTGATGAAAATTAAGAAGAGTGCATGTAGTGAATGAGAGCCACGACTTGTCTCCTTGAGCAATCTTAATATATAGATTATTTTTGAATTTGTTATCTTAACATGATATAAAAATACAAAGAAATTATTAAAGATAAGAGATATTAACTAACTAGTTGATTAAAATACTTTAACATGATAAACTTTGTCTCATTACAAAATAGAACAAAATAGAATAAAATAAATTAGAACAAAACTAAACAAAACTAAACACAATAGGACATGAAAGAAAAAATTGAGCAAATAAAAACAAAATAGAACAAAACTGAACAAAAAGTTGGAAAACCAAATTTTACTAAGAGAAAAGTTCCAAAGCCATACTTGATTAGATGCCTCAAAAAGGCCCTCACTGGTCTTATTTATACCCTGTTCTACTACCTTAGACTTTCTAAAATATTCCTAGGTGATGGATCCTATTTAGATAACTCCCTTAAATTTTTTTTCTAGAAGGTTTTCTGGTAGGCTCTACCAAGTTAACCACCCTAAGCCTTTTCTAGAAGGTTTTATGGTGGGCCCTATGTAAATAACCGTCCTAATTTTTTTTTAGAATGTTCTATAATGGATCCTATATAATCTACTAATCTAACTTCAATTCTAGAAACTTCCATGGTTATAACTATTTATATAATTATCTTATCTATATCTTATTATAGTTAATTTTCTTCCATTAATATGGAACGTCTTCGTTTTGTTTCCAATGGTATCTCTAAATTGTCTTTTGGTAATGGGTGAAGTTTTGTGCAAGTTCTCATGTTGCATCGTGAATGGAATAACCTTTCCAAAGAACTTTGTACTGAAGTTGTGGTTGTCCACTACCACGACAAAGGTAGTGATGCTCCAAAATATTGTCCACTTCATATTTTTGTTGGTCATCAATTATAATTAGTGATGGTAGTAGTTGTTGTCAATTCCAAAAGTACTATGGCTTGATATAAAATTCCTTTAGTTGCAAAACATAGAAGACTAAATGGACTCAAATATGTGGCGGAAGCTTAAGGTAGTATACAACATCAAAAATCACTGCAGAAATGCAGAAATGTCAAAGCCATTCAGGTGTTAGTTTATGGATTTGGATTGATGTAGCAAGTGGCAAGTTGGCATTAGAGAGTAACACTTAATTATCCTTTCGAAAGGTCTCGTATTGTCAATGGTTATCCGCATACTGCTATTGTCAATTTTGTGCAATAAAGAGTCGATGTCGTATCTCTTGTAAGGCCATTATAAGCTATTGTATAAATTCTTCTATTATCAGATTGTTGATTTGATGAAACGATAAAAAGTTACCGGCATAATTGAATGTTGACCAATATTATAGAAAAATGGTGAATGATCAATACTTGCTTGAATACTATCATTATAAGCAAACTCCATGAGCATCAAGTATTTATTTCAATCATTATGATGAACCACCACAAATACTCGCAATATATCTTTCAAGGTCCAATTTGCATGCTTTGTTTGTCCATCTGTTTGACGATAGAAGATTGTAGATATGACAAATTATGTGCCTAATAGCTTGAATAAAGCTTGCTAAAAACTTCCTTTGAAGCATGAATCTCAAATTGAAATGATGACACGAAAGAATCTATGGTGATAAAAGATGGTATCAAAGAAGACTTATGCAAGCATTTGAACATCAATATCTAAGTGCACTACGGCCAAGTGTAATTGCTTTGAGAGTTGATTCACAAAGACAACAACCATGATATGATTACAAAGTATTTGTGGCAAATCTGTCTAAAACTATGTCTTTGAGATCCATTCTAGAGTCTTCTCTCATTTCAAATATTCAGATATTGAAATGTCATATTTCTTGTAAAGTATGCACTTTCAAAGTTTAATATTTTTAGATATATAAATTTACTACTTGAAATAGAATAAGCCATAACTAAGAGTATAATCTTCATATTGTATATTACCTACCTTTAGTCGATTGCTAACCATCTTTAAATAAGCATTCCAATGCATAGCTTCCTTCCATTTTGCCTCTTTGGTTAGATCTAAAATGACACTATTAATAATAACGGCTTTTGCCTTGACTCTTGATTTATCCTTCAAAACTGATCTCCATAATAAGTTATTTAATACAATACGTTATCGCCCTTGCTTGTACTTAAGCTGAATATCAAAAAGTTGCAACTATTTTTTTCAACAATGATGCAGCAATTTCATATTTTCTAAATGCAAATCATGTAGCAAGGTTTGATGGTCAGTCCAAACAACTAATAGCTTCTCCAATAGATAGTGTCACCACACCTTTGTGGTGTGTACAATCACTAATTGTTCTTGATCATGTGGAGAGTAATTGCGCTCTACCTTTTTGAGCTTGCGTGATTTATATGGTAGAAGTTGAAGGTCCAAATCAAAGTCTTATTGAAAGACCGCTCTAATAGCAAAGTTGGAAGCATCAATGTCAAGCATAGAAGGAAGATTAGGATTATATCGTTGTAATATTGGAGTAGTAATGAGTGCCTTCTTCAACTTATCAAAGGCATTTTGCTGCTCCAGTTTCCATTCAAATAGGACATCTTTTTCTAATAAGTTTGTCAATGATGTAGTTATATAAGAAAATCATCAAATAAAATGGTGATAGTATCTTGTAAGGCCTAAAAATGAGTGAACTTTAAAAGCATCTTTAGAAGTTGGCCAATCTTCCACTGCTTTTATCTTATCTTGCTCTATACGCACACCTTTGGAGGACACTACATGCCCCAAAAAGGTAATTTTTGACTTCCAAAATTCTCATTTTGATTACTTGCAATAAAATAATTATCTTGTAGCTAACACAACACTTCTCATAGGTTTTTTTTCATGTTATTTAGGGATTTTATTATATACAAGGATATCATTAATGAAGACGACTACATACTTATCCAAAAGGTCTCAAAATAATGTGTTCATCTAACCCATGAAAGAGGCTAGAACATTGGTGATGCCAAAGAATAAAACCAACTATTCAAAATATCCATAGTGCATAGAAAATGCTGTCATTTCCACATCTTCTTTTGTAATAGGTATTTGCCAATAGCTACTCTAAAGATCTAATTTACTAAAGATAAT